TCTTCCCTCTCTTCCTCTCTTCTTTGAGCCTTATTTTCTTCCTCCTTTCTCTTCTCCCTCCATTCATTGTAATTCCCTTTTGTCTGGAGCAGACTCTTAGTTCATAGCCCCCATCCTCCTGGCTCAGCCTTAGAATTATTGGCATATATTACCGTAAGTAGCTCAGGCTTCACTTTTAAGAAAATAGGAGGCGAGGATTTCTCTCTCTCTCTCTCTCTCTCTCTCTCTCTCTCTCTCTCTCTCTCTTTCTTGTACATGGGCAGACGGAGTGAGACAGGTGGGAGAGAAGCAGAGGAAGTAACAGGAAGGCATGGAAGGCTAATATGGGAGTCTAGACCAAGCCTATTTATCTGGAAGCCCTCCAGGTGAGGCAGTAGGGGCATTTAGTATGGGGAGGCATACCTTGATGCTATTACACTAGTTATACACTTTGACTTGAAAATTATTGCTAACAAAAACATTTATTGTGTTTGTGTTGCTTTGAAATACAAAAGGAATGTGAGGAAAAACGTCAAATTGCAAAATCATTTTTGGTAACACATGAACTTTACCTGTTTTATTTGTTTAATGTGATTTCTCCAGTTAAAGACATTGAAGAGAATTGGGGGAATATAGTTCATTGGTAGAATACTTTCTTAGTGCACATGAGGCCCTAGATTCAACCGGCAATACTCCTTCTCCCAAATGACAGAGATGTAAAAACAGTATAGCCTGAAAGAAAATGAGTTATAGCTCACCCTCAAAGACATTGCTTTCTATAGCTGTTTGAGGTGGCTTCGTCTTTTGATTATTGTATCTTGTTTACATGGGGAGAGAAAGGGTGGCTGGTTATATCTGAGTCTGTCTGTAAATGGAACTCTTGACATGAATTAGGGAAAAACAATGACATGAATACAGAGAAGACAAGTTCCTATCCGAAAGTTCTCATAGGAGCGGCAAGGAGTCATAATTCATCCAGGAGGAAACATGTCTTTGGTCCTCGAGGCCAAGGACCGTCATACCTGTGGGCAGCCTGCAGTTGCCCTCTGTGAGTCTAAAGCAGAACCTTCAATATCACCCAGCCTGAGCTGGTGAGATGGCCAAGTCCAGGGGTGGATTTGAATGTCCCAGAACTCCCACTGAGTTGTCATGTGAGGGTAGCAGAAGTCTTTTGTATCCCTGCCTGGGTTTTTAGGCTTACATTCTGAAACTCTTGCTATACGTTAAAAACTATCTTAGATACAGCTTCTTTTCCTGTACTGTGACCACACAGATCATCTCTGGCACTGCACTATGGTGGATTTCCCTGCACACCATAGAAGCAGCTCTGCAGTAAACACCAGCTGGGGTTCTAATTTAACTTGGCTCTGGCACTTACCATCTCCTGAAGATGAGAGTCAGCACCCACAAATTGAGGACTATCTCTAAGACTGTCACTGCCTCAAATGCCAACTGCAATCTCTGGGTGGTTTTACTTGTGATTCTGAGCCACTAGCTAAGTAAGAATCAAGGTTCGCATACTGTCTCCTCAGATTTCCACTAACTTGCTTTATTAGCTCATAAATGGAATCATGATGGATACTGATGAAGATATGCATAGGATGGGGTATAGGGGAGGGGGCATGTGGGAGCAAACATCCCACCCCACCCCCACCCCCACCCCAGGGAATCTTTGTGTTCAGCTATTCAAAATCTCTGAACGTGGTGCTTTTGAGTTTTTGTGGTGGCTTCATTATATAATAAGATTGAACCACTAGGCAGTGGTGATCAGCTAACCCAGTAGACCTATCGTGAAGCTATTCAGAAGCTACCAGTCCTCAGTCATCTTCTTAACATACTAGCCTTTCCAAGATTCCAAGCAGTTTTTGATTTGTATTCCAGGAAGGCCAACTCTGTATTTCACAGTGTACCAGCATGGAGTTGTATATTGTTCCTTTTCAGTAAGTTAGCCAGCTTCCATTCCTAAATCAGAAGCAAGGCTGGAGGTGGGAGGGCCATTCCTAAGCAGAAGGAACAGTAAATACAAAGCCTAGGACAACAGTTTCCAGCCAGGATTTCCTCCCTAGAATTGTTGTTTGATCAGAGGTGGTGGTGGTGAGGTGTTTGGCTCTCAGAACCACTGTTGATTAACCACCTGTGGCCTGCTTCCCTTCTTCCCTATAGCCTGTCTGCCATTCACAAATGCATCTTCCAGTTGCGTTAATTATGCAACAATATCTGAGGTCACTTTGACAAGACTTTTGATTGTGAGGTTTTTGGTTGCCATTTTTCTGTACACGTCTGTTAATATCTGGTGCTTCCAATGCTTGGAATTTGTTGTTTCATGTTATTGTCTTTCCCACCTCCTGGGTCCAACCCCTTGTGCTGTAGTGACCTTCAAATGGTCTGTGTACTCCGTTCAATATTTCTGCTTCTGACTTGGGTGAGAATTAAAATGTGTCTCTTCAGTCTTTCTTTCTGACCCTGTTACCAGCTCATCATCACTATAACAGGAAGGAGCACAAATGGAATGCTACTCGAAACTCTGTCATAAAAGGGGGGTTCTAGGTGCTCATGCATTGATCTGTAGACAAGGTCAGAAAGCTGGAAATGAGCTGTGATGGGAGAGAAAAGAGATTTGGATGATTTTGAGATCAGAAGAAAATTGTTGTGAAATGTGAAGAAACAGAAGTATAAAAGAAAAAATTTTGACTTTATTATTTCCCCGTTTGTGACCTATATACACTTTCATTAATTCTATAGAATTTCTAAAGCCAGAGTCTCAGAGGGGTTGTGTAAATGTAAGACTTTGCTCATGATGGAGCCTTAAAAGAAACTGAAGATCCCTTTAGGGAGATTATTTTAAACAATTGTAAATCACATTCTTTATTAAGTAATGCAGGATGTGGCCCCTCTCCAGTTATAAATCTGCCCTGCCTTCTCTTGAATTTTCCAAGAAGTCCTAAGTCGTCTCAAAGGCAATGTTGGACTAGGAATCAAAGAGAAACGGAAAAGAGGATCTAGGTAGATTGATGTACTTTTCACTTAAACATTTAAGCCTACTGAAGGCAGATTCTGCTCCTTCTCCAGGACATTTCTACCTTCTTGAGTGTTTCTCTTTTCATGGATAGTGGCAGCAATAGGCTCACGCTGACTCTATCTATGGATGCTATCCCGACTCCACCCCCTACCTGTTTGGTTGTGTTCTCCAATATTCTTCTTTTATCTTTGCCTGATGGAATTCTGTTTGCACATTTCGGATTCTGTGGTAAAAATCAAACTGTCTTTCCACACTCTTCTGCCCCAGCAGTTAAAATGTGGACTTCTGTGACATTAAAAAGCATAGGGTTTTCTCTGTACAAGCAGTACACAATCTACTCTGCACTGGACACCAGTTGGTGTTCTCAAATCCAGCTCAATCCTGATTCTGTCCATGTGGAGACAGGGTCCAAATCTGAGTGATCTTACTTCACACCTACTTTCAATTCAAAGCACCTGACGTTTTTGACTGTTGAATGTGAGTAAAGTTAATCTACTCCTGAACAGAGAAAATTAAATTTGGTGTTAATTAGGGTCACAGTATGGGAAAATACAAAAATCATGATATCTTGAAAATGTGCTACAAAGTATTGTATTTATTTAACTCTAAATTGATCACCTGTTAGGCGTTATAGCCTTTGCTGGCAGAAGAGAAGATTCTGTATAAGAAGGCAACTGGTCTGCAGGAAAGGAGCCATGGTACAAAGGCAGGGATTACCTGTTTAAGGAAACTGATTTGACTCTGTGTGTGTGTGTGTGTGTGTGTGTGTGTGTGTGTGTGTGTGCATGTGGGAGGGTTGTGCATGTGTGTGGTGGCTTTCTGTGTGGTGTGGAAGGCACCA